ATTTGCTCCCTGTCCCGTTTTTTCCCATTCTAACGAACGCGTCGCACAACTAATCAAAAAATCAATACACATGCTCGGATTGTTACCATGTCTGCATAATCATTTAAATTTAAGGGTTGTTCCCCTTTTGCATATCAAATGGGTTGTCAACTTTAAAGTGTTAGATTTATGAATATGATATTTATATTTTGGTATTTCATTTTTCTTCCTCTTTTATTAGTTTTTTGGCAAATAACTTATTATGGGCTTTTTTGTAAAAGAATTTCATCGGCACGTTATATGCTGCGTTAAATAGTGGTAATGGTAACTCTACCCTTTGTGTTCTTTTCCCTTGTGTGACAGCGGTGTTTATGACATGCAACAGTTCCCCATCCACCTCTTTATCATTTGGATGTAGGAAATAAAAAATAATGTAGGTTTCAATAAAGTTATGATTACGGCGGTGGGAAGTGAACTGCCATTTTATTGATTTATTATACTGTATCCCAGCACTAATTCTTTTCGGTGATACTGTGGGACATTTTTCAATCATGTCTCTCGAGAGTACATCGCACCCCAAACACTACATACTACTTTAAACACAATCTTTTTAACTCGCTGCATACTTACAATACAATTTAATAGTTAGTTTCCCTTTATCGTCGTGTATACCTAATACAAAACTTTATTTTATAGCAAAAACTATATAAATCATTGTAAGTAAAGCTTCTGACAATTCTGAATTTAGACGTCATTAATAGCAAACTTAGGTTTTGCTGTCGCGGTCGTTTCCATAGAATTCTCGCATTTTCATATGTTCTGAACGTCATTTTATATCGTGTTCCGCGTCCCATTTTGAAATTTGAATTACAGATGTCATTAGAATGCATATCTTTATCTACCTTTATTGTTAAAGTAATCACTATCTACCCCCATGGTTAAAGAGCGACTTAGCCTACTCATTCAACCCTATTATCTGCTATAAAATACAATGGCCCCACGTTCATGCTAGAAAGAGACAATTACAGCTACTATTGCAATTTTTAATTACATACTATTATTTCTGGCGATTAAATCTGCATTGTGTGGATTTCGATTTAATAGGGGTTTACAGTATAGTTGAATTCCGTAGTCCTAATTTAAAAATACCTGAAACAATAAAACAATTTCTTGGACAGTAGAAGTTTATTTAAAAATAGTGGCTGATTAGCAAAAAAATAATGAACATGTGCGGTATTAGGGGTTTATTCAAAACGAATTGATTGTGGCGGGCTCTGTGACGTAAAAAACCCGACCAATCGCTGCTAGAACCATTCAGATGATACGACTTGGCAATATTGCAGGAGAATGTCATTTGTAACTTGCGTCATCTGTCACAGGCACTTGCCACTTGTCGTTCACTTTCGTTTTATACTGTATTCATTTTAAGAAGGTAGCGGTAAAAAACATAGGGAAGATTTGACCTTCAGTGTGATTGGTTAAAACACAAGCCAGTATTACGCTGAAACATAAAATGAGTGGCGAATTTTGCAAGCTGGTAGTTTCTGTTGGCATCTAAACTATTGAAATGTCATTAACTGTTAATGTCAAAGATTGATTTGTGTTTGCAGTGCTATATATTTCTACTTTAAAATAATTTGGTACCGTTTTATATTTTTCCTGTGTGTGCTTATCTTCAAACCCAGCGCCATCTACTACCTTCTTATAATGAATGAAGTATAGATGCAGTCCAACATGCCTCTTAAAAAGTCAAATCCGACAAACGTCACGCCCTCGCACAGGGTTGCCGGCTCACTTCTACGTGATTGGTTGTAGGTTTGTGACGTTTTAGACTAAAGCGTTTCAAATTCGGACTAAAACCACAGCTTTTCATAACTTATTTTGGGTTTATTTTACTCGAAAATAAAAATTGAGGACACACGGGTCTTTTTATTTTTATTGTACTTTGTAGATCAGAAATAAAAAATGAAGTCGGGATGCCCCTTGGACGGCTTTATTTTCGCGCAATTCTGACGCGCCATGTGACTGTCTGGCTCGGGTGGCCCCTATACTACTAATATCAATTTTAAGTTTTTGGACACGAACTATACCTAGCGTCAGTATTGGCTTGAATTTAAATTCCAGTAACGGGCATATTCCCTTTATATCCACCTTTAATTACGATTATGTATGTAGGTATGAACTTAAATGAAACATTCATACAGGTAGGTACCTAATGTGAAAAGGAAGTGCTACATATATCGATCACTAGAAATATAAATCATTGACGGAATGTAATTAACTTTGTATAACAATTACACAGGTACAATGGGATATATAGGTGCCTAACGGAGGTAGATATCCGTCGTCGTGTAACCACCCTAATAATTATTATGTGATTATTGACCTTTTAATCGTAGCAGTTATTGATTTATTTCCATTTGTCCATTGTTATTCTGTGGGAAAGCTTAATTCCCAACACAAGTAATCGTCGACATATCAGAGTTGAAGAAAAGAATGCAATCCAACGGTACTTCCTATCAACTGCAAATATGGGGCTGACATTTAATTATTAACAGAAGCATACCTATATACGAGGAGAGTTATATATATGTACAGTCTTTGACTTATTTAATGGTCCTCGAATACCCCATACCTGTAGCCTAGGTAAACAACATGCCTTTTACTTAATTCGTTTTCTTCGGATTTTAATATGTTTGGTTACCTATGTGACAGGTATGCGGAGTATTCTAGGGCCATTAAATAACTCAATGACAGATAATTTTTAAATTAGCTCATTAGCAAATGGGGGAAGGTAGAAGGGTTACAGACCGGTGGCCCGAAGTGAAAGCTTTGAAGAAAATCTGATTAGCTTATTTCTTTGTGCGGATCTTGCGTAGCTATTTCTGTTACTTTTTTTAAAATTAAGGCTCCTATTCTTTTCCAATTCTTGATAAATTTCTCACTCAAAGCAGTATAAACAATAAAATAAATATCAAATTCAATGGGGGGATCTTTGTTTGCTCAACTTAAATTGCCTAAAGATCATCACAGTGGCTTAAAGTTTATTCTAAAAATAGTTTACATTCAACCAAAAAGAGGAAGGAATTCGTGAGTTGTGGACGCAATGATTCTTGCAGTGTGTTGTGGAAAGTGCAGTGCGCCCATATTATAGGAGTTATCTGTCAGTTAACTTAACTCATTTAAAGTCGAAATTCCGTGTCTAAAGCCAAAAGTACGCAAGCACTGAACCACATGCAATGCGCAGAAAAAACAGCACAGTTCCAAAAAAATTTGGTGACGATAAGTGGAGCCAAGCAGATGTGATGGCGCCAAAAATAGTTCTATTCAAAAGTTTACGTTTATGTATTTAGTCGACATTTCGGGTTTAAACAGGAAAGCAGTGCCCCACTGTGCGGGTAGAAAGCCTCTGATGACATCAAGGTACGATGATATAGTCAAATATTTTTATTTTTCGACGTGGTGTCTTTGAAAAATACGCGTTCTCGCGCGTATCAGCCCGTGGCTCGTGAAAAATTTTTCTCTAGAGAGATATACAGTGATATAATATTCATGTAGAAGTAGACATGACATAGGGATTTCCTATAGGAATTTCCTACGTTTACTTTTACATGATAAAAAGTCTCCCGAAAGACGCCTAATTTTATGCAACCAAAATACCTTCTTGAAACAAATAAAGGTCTGGCTGTCATATTAATTATTAATTTGAATATTGTTGCTTTAGCTTCACACAAAATAAATCTCTTAAGCTCCTTTAACTGTTATCGGCACTATACCAATTGGAAATATCAACTTTATCATGTAAAAGTAGACATAGGAAATCCCTGTCTACTTCTACATGAATATCACTGTGTAAACTTTTCATTTTGAGAAGAGGCGGAAGTCTGATGGAGCCAGATCAGAAGAAGAAGGGAGTGGTCTGGTGCTCTGAGATGCGGTGCGTTGGTAAGCCTCATTCTGCCCATTTCAAACTCGCTCGCCCACTTGTGAATTGATTTGTACCAGAGCTGGGCAGTATTCGATTTTGTAAATACTTTTTAGTATTCAAATCCTTTAAAGTATTCAAATACCGACCTTATTATTAAATACTTTTATGGAAGCAGTATTTGTATTTGTAACTCAAATACTTTCACAAATATTTAGTATTCGAATACTTCGCAAGGTATTTGAATACTTTGAGAAGTATTTGAATACTTAACCTTCCTTTTTTTTTACCAAAAATCGACTACACCAAAATTTCTCGGGAAAACACTTTTTCTTATTAATTTTGGTGCGTAGAAACCAAAACAATTCGTACTTTTTCGATCAGACTTCTCAATCAAAAGTTATAGACTAGAAACCAATTTCGAAAGAAAATTTAAAGGGCTGTAACTTTTGAACTAGTAGCCCAATCTTGGAACTGTTTGAAATTATGGATTCTACTGGGCACATTCTATAAGAAAAATTTTTTTCCGGGTCGATCTGAAACAATTTTTTTTTCGGGCCTCAAAAAAAAGGCAGTGTATAACCTTCCTTTTTTACCAAAAATCGACTACACCAAAATTTCTCGGGAAAACACTTTTTCTTATTAATTTTGGTGCGTAGAATCCAAAACAATTCGTGCTTTTTCGATCAGACTTCTCAATTAGAAGTTATAGACTAGAAACCAATTTCGAAAGAAGATTGGGCTACTAGATCAAAAGTTACAGCCTTTTGAATTTTCTTTCGAAATTGGTTGCTTCTATCTAAAACTTTGGTGACTCCTAAGTATCCTCGTCTTGACTCCGGTTCATTTCCTGCATATGTGATACCCAACCTATATTGACTATACCCTTAGTAAAATCAAGTAACTATTAGCAAAGAGTAATTACTCTTTATCATTAGTATCTGTTACTACAATCAAGCCAAGCAAACAAGTCCATCAAGAAGGCAATGGTTTAGTCTTGGAACTTGGATCATATGATCTAAGGGTTTAGTGTCACTGTATTTTAGAAGTACAGACTGTATTAATAGTTATTGGCGGTAAATTTAAACTTGTTGTATTTTGCATTTGCATGTGTTTTTATTAAAGAGACATTCACTGTTTGCCTATTCAAAAAGTATACATTTTTAGAGTAAACAATGTTCCTCTATCTTTTGCTCTATATTACATAAAAAAAAAAGTGATTAACATTCAATATACTTCATTATACTACAATTCCTATGCAAAAATCATTTCATCACGTCGCCGTTTAGGTTGATTAGGACGCACTTGGCATTCAGGATGGTTCATAAGCTCTGGAGGACAAGTAGAGACAGGAGATGACAAAACCATTTGTTTCAAATCGTAAAATAGTGCTGAATCGTCGTTCGTGCAAAAGCTTACTGCAATACCAGTCTTGCCAGCACGACCAGTACGGCCTATACGATGTGTATAATCTGAAAAAGGAGACGAATCAAAATGTTTCAACAATAATAATATATGCCTACCTTCTATTGTTTTAGCCATATCGTAGTTAAGAACCATAGAGACATCTTTAATATCGATACCTCTACCGGCGACATCTGTTGCCACCAAGATATCTTTAGTACCGGACTTAAGACTTGCCAACGCATATTCACGCTGCTCTTGACCTTTACCGCCATGCAAAGTACAAGCATTGTGGCCCAACTTTTCCAGTCCCTTCGCCAGAACGTCGGCGCCTTTCTTTTGATTGACGAAAATAATGATGGGAGGCTCGATGCCCTTCGACAGATATTCCATAAGTTTGCGCCGTTTGTCGTTTTCAGTCATTATATGCACAATCTGTTCAACACGGTCGACCGGTTTACCGATACTGCCGATATACACAACGGCGGGCCGTCGTAAATAAGTTCGCGCGAGACGTTCGACCGCAGGGGGCATAGTAGCGGTGAACATCACAGTTTGGCGATACTTCTTTTTAGTGTTATAGTTGGCCAGAATGATCTAAAAAAAAGAGTTTAGGACTTTCCAATTAAAATTATTTTATATATGTTGAGGTTAAAATTTTGTTTGACACATGGTTTTTGAGTGCGGCCGCCATCTTGACTTTTTTAAATGGCAACATAGGTCATGTGATACGTCATTACAAAGCTTATTTTTTCTCTTTCTTACTACCTTAACGTGCATGGTGTAAAATTAGACAATAATGCAGAAAAATTAGAAAAACCTTGCCATACGCTTGACAGGCTAATGTGTTGCACTTCAAATTTCGATACCTTTAAATTACAAAAAAGCAATGAGGAGGTGTTTAATAACCGAAACACTATCCAGGTAGTAAGACAAGAGAAAAAATAAACTTTCTAATGACGTATCACATGAACATGTTGCCATTAAAAAAATTCAAGATGGCGGGGCCACTCAAAAACCATGTGTCAAAAAAATTTCTTTAACCTCAAAATTTGTAAAATAATTTCAAATGGTGTTCTTGTTTAAATGACTCAATTAAGAGTATTATTCAACTAACCTTAGAATCCTCTGCCTCGTCAGTGTCAGGTTTTAAATTAGTGACCGGCATGTATTCAAGAATACGCTGTACATCTGGCTCAAAACCTAAATCGATCATCCGATCGGCTTCATCTAAAACTATATAGGTGCACTGGTTTAAAACTAAGTATCGATTTTCAAGAACGTCGATCAAACGACCTGGCGTGGCTATCACAATTTCACAACCCATCCTAAGCCTAAATCCTTGCTCTTCACGACTTAAACCTCCTACCACGACCACTGTGCGGATACCGAGTGGCTGGCCAAATTTCAAGGTTTCTTCTTCTATCTGCTGCGCTAACTCACGTGTCGGAGCTAAAATAATTGCATACGGGCCTTGATCACAATCCTCTGTACGCTCGATTTTTGGTAATGACTGTATCCATGACAACAACGGTATAAGAAATGCCAATGTTTTACCTGTGGAAATTTTTTCATTATGTTCTTTTAAATTGTAACAAATAACATACCAGACCCAGTTTCAGCAACCCCAATTATGTCTCTGTTTTGCATTCCAATGGGTATGGCCTGTCTTTGAATCGGAGTAGGCTCTTTGTATCCAACTTTATCGACGATCTCCAACAGCTCCTTTTGTATTCCAGACTCGACCCAATTCCGAATTGGTTCCGGAATCTTACCACCTTTAATTGTAATATTGTAATCCTCTCGAAAGATTCGCCAATCCCGCTCGGTCATTTCCAAAACCTCCTTTTCAGACCAATGTCGGTCGTCCCACAGTTGCTTCTCCTCCTTTCGACGGACCTTTTTAAGTCGCATCTTTTCTTGAGCCTTTTCCGCTTCGGTTCGACGTTTCTCCAGCAGTTCGCCATAAAATTTGCTCTGATCCCGTTTTTGCGCTTTAATGTCTATGCCGGCCAAATTACCCCGTCCGAAAAACTGCACCTGATGCCTCTCCTTGTACAGACCATTGTAATCCGTTGACGTATCCTCCCCTGCATCCCAATCGAACACAAACTTACGATCGTTTAATCTTCTTACTCTGCGCTTTTTCTTAACTAGACCCAAATACCGTTCCTTAATCGCGTCCGATTCACGTTCTCTATCTTTATCCTTCTGCTTTTCTTCCTCTTTAGCGGCCGCTCTCTCCCGACCCCGTCTCGTTTCGTAATCAATAACTTCCTCTTGACGAGAAGCTTTTGCTTGCTGAATAATCTTTCGTTCTTCCTCTTGTTGTTTACGTAATTTATCAATTTCTTCTTGTCTGCGTTTCAAAGCCTCCTCTGCCCTTTGTGCTTTGGTTAGAAACACAGGCTGAAAAGACCCAATATTAAAATAATATTAACAGAAATAAACGAATATGGACAGGTGGATGTGTCCGAGGAGAGTATTCACAAAAAGCACGTAAAATATGGCATAATGGCTCAATATAGGGATCTTAAAACAACAAGATTACCTTGCTTTTGGCCGCTTCCTCGGCTTTTTTCTTCGCCAACAGCTCTTCCAAAGAAAGCGGTTCTCTTTTAGGAGCCGGTTCCTGCTTTAACTCTGGCTGTACCTCTGGCTTTATCTCCTCGATTTCGGGACTGGAAGATTTGCGTTTATCTTTAACCTTCTTCTCCCTCTCTTCCTTCATGTATTTGTAATTATCATAACGACTGTCCTGCTTGCTGTCGTATTTGGCGTCGCGATCTCTCGAACGAGACCTATGCTTCTTGTGACCGCGCTCTTTGCTACGAGATCTGGATCGCTTGGATCTTTTATCCCTATCACGTTCGCGATCTACTCGTTCCCTGCTACGAGATCGGCGTTTCTTATCACTGCCCATAATGGGTTAAACGTTTATGTGTGTCTGATTTTTGTTCAATTTTAATTGTCTTAACAGTTCAATTAAATTGACATTTCGAGCACAACTATTGTATTCGTGGTTTTATATCAACTATCAATAAATTTATAAATATTTACAATGAATTGTATACAAAACGTAAAATGAGGTTATCTGATTGTGTTTACTGTACCGTCGTAGGGTCATATACCGTTTGGTGGATTCGATTGACACGGTACGACGGTACGTTCAAGATATAAAGTGTGGCAAGTTAATTAGATAATTAAAATCGGCATTAGATGACATCAAAAAAAGGCCTTTTTATAAAAAATCAGCAATAGACGAAGAGTGCACTTTCAAATTTGTTTTTTCGATTTCAATAGCCCTTATGGACATTTCATTCCTTAACGAGAATACAAACATTAAATAATTTTTCATTTCTGATCGAATGACACCAATACCAAGTCTGTAAGTAGCCGGAGCCTTTGTGACTCAGAATCCAGAATGACGGACATGTTATAAGGAGCGCAAAAGTGCACTTCTTATTTTTTGAAAGTGAAAGTGCACGAAAAACATTCATATGTTGTAGGTAAAACCGTCTTGACTTTTAGGCTCTTGGTTTCTCCATGCCCAGTAATATTTAAATGTTGCGTATAAATGCGAGTACAATATATCTGGAGTTGCTTCATTTCCTTCAGTAACAAAAGAGTGTTTGTACAACAATCATCCACCTTTTATTTGTTAATCAACATTAAAACTATAATCAGGTATGCGCAGAATTGGGTTTTTAGACATGAAAATTAAATAAACAAAATGTAAAATTGTACGTACAGATTGCTGTTTTATCGTCTTGCTATTTTGCAATGGGCAACATAACGTATGGTACTTATGACAGACCCTGTACTTCAACAGTTCAATCATCACATTTGTATGACGTGTCTGTTAAATAATATGTAAAATTACTTCGCTCATTGAAAATTAGGGCACTAAAAACGCCATTAAGTGCAAAAAATTTCTGCAATAGTTTGTTTTGGGCCTTACACTGAATTCAAGGTCATATTGTCATAATTTGTATAGTAGTTCAACCCTAGCTAAACAAGACAGCCTTTCAAACTACCAATACAGCTAAGGCAAGCAATGCATAATGTCGAATCGTAAATCAAACAGTGCAACAGCTAGATTGAAGCAAGATTATTTGCGACTAAAAAAGGATCCCGTGCCGTACATAACGGCAGAACCTTTACCATCAAATATCTTGGAATGGTGCATTAAAAACTGTCAGTTTACAAGATAACAACTCGACTTTTGCAGGCATTATGTTGTGACCGGTCCAGAGTCGACCCCTTATGATGGTGGATTTTATCACGGCAAGCTGATTTTTCCGAAAGAATTTCCGTTTAAACCCCCATCTATCTACATGATAACACCTAATGGACGTTTCAAAACAAATACCAGATTGTGTCTTAGTATATCAGACTTTCACCCTGATACTTGGAATCCTGCTTGGAGTGTTTCTACAATATTAACGGGCTTGTTAAGTTTCATGGTTAGTTTTACTATGAGAAATTTGCTTTTATTAATTTGCATTATTTAGAACGAGAAAAGTCCGACAATGGGAAGCATTGATACCACGGACTATGAAAAACGATCTTTGGCATTTAAATCCTTGGAATTTAACTTACGAAACAGGCAGTTCTGCGAGCTATTTCCAGATATCGTAACGGAGATTCAGGTAAAATAGGGCAGTTTTCATTTAACGTAAACTAAACGAATGCTGCAGGCGGAGCTAGAAAAACGGGTTGCTCTAAATAAATCTGTCGAGAACCAGAACCAAAATCAACAGGCACAGGAGTCTAGTAATCTACAGTCGATATTAACTAACATAATTGTTTTAATAGGATTTGCAGCTTTTGCGTTTACAGTGAAGTTTGTGATGAAAACCTCTTATGCAGATTCCGAATAATGGCTATAGTATTAAATTTTGTACTGTAATTGTAATGTAAGATATGTGTTAATCTATGCACGTGACAATTTTGATCATGTGGTCTAGTTGTAAAAGTTCCATGAGAGATTCTAGAATCTTTAGTTAAATGCTAATTTATATCATGTAAATAATAAAGTTCTACTTAATTATGTTAAGTTTCTAGTTTTCAAATAAATAAATTGCACATTTTTGTTTATACAGTGTGATGATTTTGCGTGTCCAAGCGTCTATTTTTTGATCATTGGAATTTATTTATTTACAAAAACAAGTGACATAAAAACAAAAGAGCATTAGTCCAGTCCAGGCTTGAAATTCTCTTTACAATGATACCAAGTAGGCTATAATATTACCTTAGAAATTAAAGCTACAATAATGTTTTTGCAACCAATCACAGTAACTGGAAATTGAAACAAAACCATAAAATGTACAACATGAAGTGAAGACAGTCACACAAATAATCTGATAACTTAAGCATAATTAAACAAGATATTACAGACATTTTACAAATTATAATTGGTGTCCCCGAGTCCCCCATTGTTCTGGATGCACAGTCAGACTCTTCTTAACAAATTCCTGCGTCCTGTTTGAATATGTGCATGAGGTATTATATGTGAACTCAGGTCGCAATAATTCTATTTTTAAGCCCATCGAGATTTTCCGGCTCTGTGAGAAACTTTTTGATTGAGATATCCCAAAACGAAAAAAGTCCAAAATTGCCTTCGGACCTAAACTCTCTTTAACTTATCTTGAATTATGTGGTGATGCCTCGTCTTGTTGAAACCACAAGGTGTCATGCCAGACACGTTGGAGGCTCAGTGGCCCCTCTGACAAAATAATAACGTCATTATTATAATAGGCGTGGTTCCGTCTAGGTCTGCTTCTCACAGAACGGCCCATAAAGAGGAGGAAGTAATGAATCCTTTCAACTAAGTTAATATAATGTACTTATAGCAGTTTGCGTATTTAGCAAACTTAATTCTATTTCCAATTACAAATAATTGACAGCCGAACTCAGTTCTCGCGCGGCTTATATTTTAATAATAATAAAGCACATTCACAAATATGTACTTAACTCCTAACTTGAATTTTATTAAGTCCGTCTCTGACCAACGCATTTATTCACATCAGACCACCCGCCGATTTATATAAGATCATAGCTACTTGATAATGTATCTCTAATTCAATTAATTAATATTAATTGAAAAGAATTTATACCTTGTACTTGTAGTGAATTGACTACCTCCCAAACGCTTTCTTTACAAGTTAAATGTCCATTTATTAAGGATAACAGAAACTAGTCATGCTAGGAACGTACATTTTTTGCCTTAATTGCTTTTGTCTCATAACCGAATTCTGTTTATGCCCCATGTCATAAATATTCAGTTTATGTGTTTAAGATCGTATAAGCAGTTAAAAAACTGGTTATTCGGAAAAAGAGCACGTTACGCATATTAGTAATAACGAGGGTCTAACTGCTAACATCACAAAACTACGAAGTTACAAAGCGCGTACGCATTAGCTATTTTTATTTTAAAATTCCAGAGTTTCAAAAGTTATACAAACTTTATGTGTCACTCGTTACACCCTTTCTAATTTACACATAAATTTGCATACGCTACATAGGTACTAGTACTGTACAGACTATAAATGTGCAGTTCGGAAAAGTTTTTCGATTTTTATTCGTTATTCGTGCGCGAGTGAGAACGATAAAGATGACAAGGCGAATGAAAGTGTTTGCGCGTTCGCCGTGTTGATCGTTATCACTTGCGCACGAATAATGAATAAAAAATTACTTTCTGAACTCCGTACGAGGGTGCAAATTGAAAGGTAGATTTGATTAACAAACAATTTGAAATTCGCAACCCTTTTTACCTAATTGTAAAATTGTGATTATCCAAAATGTTACCCGTTCACTAAATTCGATATAAAACAAAGTTCCAAGAAACTGCAAATTTAAAGTATAGTCTGTACTAATATGACATGCCTTTGCACCCCCATTCCAATACTTAATCATTTCTTCAACCCCATGTCATAGTAAAATTTGACGCGAGAAGTCTGCACAACTGTTATAATAAAATTGTAAAACAATACGTAGGTATTGCGTCTTGTTTTTTTTTTTCAATTTTTAACAATGTTCCGTTCGTCTTATAAAAGGTCGCAAATTTATTTTGTCTTTAATGATTGGTTTATCGCCTTGGTGCCCTAGAGCGTTCGGTGCTCTCGCACACCTACCAAGTTATCCCATTGATCTGTACGTATAGAGTTCCTGTTACATTCGAATCGTATAATTAAAACAAAAAGTTAAAAGAAGCTTTTCAGAGCGTGATATTATTGGAGAAAGCAACTGAACCAAGCAGGCGCGGATTTAAAGGGGGGCGCGCACCCCCTCCTAGACAGTGGTAGTTACGCAGTCGGTCCCCCGAATTCCAATTCTTAATCATTTAATAAACTGACTTAAAAAATCGTGTTAGGGTAAAAAAATTATTAAATTTAAACATAAATATATTAATACTCTTCTGGCAGCTGCAGATGATAATATTTAAATTACTAAAAGAGTACGCATAACCCGTCGTTAGCACAACTTTTGGGTGAAGTGCAGCTATGCACTGTGGCCCAGATGAGGAATCATGGGGATTTCAGAAACCATAGATGGTCAAATTAGAGGCAAGAAATTTGTTGATTTCGTATTTATTCTTTTCTGATGTTATTTGAGCAGATACAAAAAAAAAACATTTTCTCATTGTCACTTATTGGGTTTTACAAGAGAGGTTGAGACGTTTCATTTCGGAGAAATCATTATCAACTTTATTTTTTATATGGCCCGTAAAAAAAGTAGATTCCTACGAATAAAACGATGTACGGCACACAAAGTTGGAACCTGTTGATTTCAGCAAGATGGTGTACCTGCACAATGCTCTAATCGTATAAGGATACCTATATTGGACAAATTTCCTGGAGTGGAAAAAAATCGATTTGCGCCGACAAAAAGAGCTCGCGATTTTGCCATTTAGCCTCTTTCTGGTTTGTTCTTTTCTTGGTTTATCAAGAATTAGTTACTTGTTCAATATATTATGTATTATGCCGAACATGTTCTATTTTTAAACGTATAATAAATGTTTTTTAAAATATATTAACTTTAAAAATTGTATGCGCCCCTCCCTAGACCAAATCGTATAAATCCCCCACTGGAACCAAGTGAATGGACATCGCCAATCGTTGGGATCGCTTTAAACCAACATACTCTGGGAGATCAAAGTAAGAAAACCATTGAATTGAATGATAATTATACGATTTCACAAGGAACAGCAGCCGTTTTCCATATCAAAGAGTGGATGGATGTCTTTTATTTGTTGCAATTTGCTACAACATTGATTTGTTTATTTCTTCTAGAGTTTATTATACTACTTGATGATGATTGGTCTTCATTCACAGTTACTCCTTGTTGCCTTGTTCACTGTGATCCTGGTTTGACGCTCTACCTAAAAAGCTACCCCAATATTAAATACTTAAATGTCTTAATACAATAAGAGCAAAATAAAGAATTTTATTACGATTATGAGCACGTTTTATTAATGTGCAATAAAACATAGATCAGTCATTTCATTAACAACAATACCTCTCCTTAAAATTATGAAATAAATAACTCAGACTTCTGGAAAACAGTTTAGTTTTCTGGCATTTCTCTATACTTAACGAGTAACATGCTTACAAAAATAATTGCAACATTGTTTGATATAGGTACTATGGACCGATATTAGGTATGTACACAAATTCACGATACCTCTAATTTAACAATTTGAATGGTGTCATGGTATAAATCAAACTAAAACCTACAAATAAGTACATTACCAATTTACTAATCATAGAAAAAGTCGAAACTATAAATACTACATTAAAATAAATAATTGGTTTGTAAAACAGCCAACTTTTATTTCAAGTACCTTGGTTTAGCGATTCTACAATCTTTCAATATATATTCCTCTTAATTGCGTTCATTGCGTTATTTTTAACTGCAACAATTGCAAAAGAATATAGGTACCTATTATTAATACATCTACAACAGGATACATCGTATTGAGAAGCTTATTGATAGGACTGTTGTCTAAACATCGCTGCAATTTCTTCTATTGTCTTGTTTTTCGTTTCTGGCACTTTTTTATAAATGAATACTGTACTTAGGGCCAGACATACGACAAAGATAACAAACACATAGGGACCTATGGCGTCCTAAAAACATTTAAATGTACCTATACGCTCCATGGCCGCCTAATCTTACTCTTATTAGTGGAAATCCCAAGCCAACTGCAAAGTTCGCCGCCCAATTGGTCATTACCGCTAAGGAGGTAGCCATTGGCCGTGCAGATTGATTGAATAATTCACCAACTAAAAACCATGGTATCGAACCTGGGCCACTTGCGAACAATATTATGTAGATCAATATCAGCACTATGCACATGTACCTAGCGAACTGAGATTCTTTCTAAAACCCAAATCAATTTAATTACAGGCTAGGAAGGTATTTTGTAACATACAGAATAGATCATTGTAAAGATGAGCACGAAAACATCAATTGTCATTCCAGCAAAACCCACCAGCAATAATGTTTTACGTCCAGCTTTTTCAACAAGTATCAATGAAACCAAAGTCATAAACACATTTAAACCCCCCATTCCTAACGTGGCATATTGGGCGTCGTCTGGTTTCAAGTGAGCGTCGGTGAAAATTTGAGTGGAAAAGTACATGATCTAAAACGGCACTTCTTTAAACCCTTTTCCAGAAGAAGGCAAACGACTTACCGCATTGATACCGCTGAGTTGTTGCGCAATCATCATGGTTAAAGCAATAATAAGTGGTATTCTCAAAGCACTATTCGTGAATAGTTCCTTCATGGTGGCCTTCGGGACCAATTTAACTGCTTCAAATTCAGCACGCATTTCGTTCATTTCATCTGAAACTGCAACTGATCCTCTCAACCAAGTCAAAGCCCTTTGCGCTTCCACTTCCTTCCCCCGTGACAACAGCAAAAACTTTGGAGTTTCAGGGCACATGGGTAGTGTCACAACCTGTCATGTAAAAATTGAGCGGTGTAAATAAATTGAAGAGTTTGCTCACTTGAAAGATGGCTGGAACGATGGTCATTGCTAGCAATGTAGGCCAACGATCTCCTCCCAAAATATACTCCAATCCCAAAACTTGCGCAATAAAGATGGATATCGTTATAACTAATTGATAAACGGTACCAACCGCACCTCGTAGATTAACAGGTGAAATTTCGGCCAAGTACATTGGTGTCAAACCTGCATTTAAACCCGAGTTAATACCAATAAAAAACCGACCAGCAGCTATCATTTCGTAGGAACGCGCAGGTTTCGCGGCACACTCCAGCACTACGGCGATTAGTACGAAAATATTGTTGAGCAACAGTCCACCTTTTCGGCCAAATCTATCAGCAATGGTCCCTTTAAGATAATTAGTTATATTTCAATATAGTAGAGTGTTTCCTTACCTGTAAGCATCCCCCCTATCATTCCACCAAAGCAGAATATCGCTACTATAACTGACCATGTTACAGTAAGTTGTTCGGGCTCTGGTATTTCGTTAGTCCTGTTGGTCATTACGTCTTTGATCCATTCTTTCATTACCTTCAAATAACAACAGTATAGTTAACATTTGTATGTGATAATACTTTGATACAGCGCACTTTAACAAAGCGCATCATTTTGAAGGAAAGAAATATTTGTTTCGGGAAGCCAAAACAAATCAAACTGTTCATTGTGTGAACTTGTATGAAGGTTCCCAAAAATCCCAATTTCAAGTAGTAATCAGAAAAGTCCTCTCATTCGAACTATCGAAATTTGAGTCTATTTGTGGTACAACGGGAAGTTGAAACCAATCAGAAATAATAAGCTGAAAGCAATAAATGAACCTTGAACAAGACGAGTTTCAGAGTTTATTGTGAATAATAATTTACCGATCAAGACGCAGACACTATTTACTCAGTGTATAAATAAATAGGTACATATAAAAGTTAAACAAACAATACAATATCTCTCATCAATCGTAAACATAAACATGAACAAAAAATAAGAACAAAGTTCCATATATATATAAATATATAAATAATAATATATAAAAATAGAACATAATTAATATAAAAATAGGATTTTTACCTGTTCTGGATTGTTTAGGACACCGGTATTATAACCATGTTGAAAAGCCGAACCAATCGCCGAAGCCGCTATAGCAAAAGCTAGTCTTCCTGTAAAACTCTGCAAAGAAAAAGGATTGTTAATAATTGCGCAATCGGATTCTTGTCAATAAATTATGGCAACATTTTTTTTGCAGTCTTTTGATTATTATAGCGCTCATACAATATTATTTGTCATTTATTATCAGATGATGAATGAATGGGATAGATAGGTAAGTTTAACTGCAAACACATTTAATTTATCAACCTCTAGCTAGTTTACTTCATTTCTTTTCATTGTTTGTAATTGTAATGTTTATAGGTACACGATGGGTAAAGGAGTTTATATTGTATCAGATGAAGAATAATACCTACTCGTAATCAACAAGAGCCGTTTAATAGGTTTGAATTTTTTAAAAATATTGCTAGGGTTGCGTAGTTTTGGGTATTAGAGAGTATAAGGGATGTTTCGAAAAAAATGCATTAATCCTACAATTTTAAAAGTCCTTAGGTTCGTAAATAAAGCGATCTTTATTTTTATGTCATGGGTTTCTGTGCGCGTCGTTTAGGAAGTTATTGGCGTCCGCCTGTCGGGCATTGAGACTAGAGACGACTAACTTGATGAGGTTTACGTGACCAAAACTGCTCAATCAGAATGATTCCATTTCGAGTCTATTTGAAACGATGGATCTACATTATTAAAAGACCGTCGTTTTGATTTACGGCACTGAACGAGCGTATTTCGTCGATTTAAACGAATCAAATGAGCTAATGATTAAATATGGCTGATTTCATTAATAAAACTCCATTTCGAGAACGAATAGAAAAGCAAGTAAGAATGCGTCAAGGAGAAAAAAAAGTAAAGGGGATTGTTCGATTAACAGTCGAACAGGAAGCTGCGTCTCTCTGGCCTGCGAGATCAATTTTTATGTGGGTAGTTTAAACTTTATTTAAAGAAAAACAAGTTCGAAAACGCGAATCGCTGTTATACGGGCGCCGTGAAATTTGGTGGCACGGGATGCTAATCAAACTAGGATAGGTACGCATTTTGGGATTACGTGAAGTTTGTGCTTACGGAACGGTAACCTTTACCAAAACTGTTTGGGTTATAGCCAGAAACTGTCATTGTTCCTACTAATGAACGGTGTATTGATTGATTTTTGAATTTTTCCCGCAGAAATAAGTAAAGTGAAAATGTTTAAGCTGCAACTAATGGAAAGGTTCAGAAGTGTTTTCCCAAACAAATTTTAGTTGTGAAATGTGTAAAGAATTTATATGGACAATTGGGGTCAACGAAATATATGTCATTGCTATTTATTTTGTATGGGCGTTTGTTCTTTAATAGCCTATGTCGCCTTCTAGTCTCCCAAGTGTTCACATCCGAAAGGGATATATTGAATTTTATTTCTGAATAAACACTCGTACCGTGGATACTACTTAACTTGAATTTTTTGGATGATTAACAACCTTTACAGCCATCTGAGATTGGTAGTACAAAAGACACTGACTAATAGAAAAATTAGGTATCGCCATTCTGGAAGATAATCCGCCATTTGTGGGTGTGGGGAACAACCCAGTAATTAAAATGGGCATCATTCAACTTTGAAAAATCTTGAATCTCTCAACGAGCGAGAAGAGATCACAAGTCCCTTCATTAAAGGTAATTAAAAAAAAATTTGGTGTGAAATTTGAGTTTAATTGGGCGCTAGAAAAATAACATTTAAAATTCTATACGTGGAGAGTTGGATTCGTTGTGTATTAACAAAATCGCGCGAGATTTAAATTAAATGGAATAAAGTGGTGAAAAACTCTCAACATATCAACAATAAACTTAGTTCAATCGGTCCCATTGAAGACGATATTATAATCGTTTTTTTTTGTGCAACTACTTACTGAAGATGTACTTTAAAGGTTTCCGACAAAATATACCGTTTGAAGAAAATTTCATATACAAAGGAAAATGCATGTGTAAATATTTGAATTTTGATTAATCTCAATATACAGTTATACGACTATTTGGTGTTTGTTTTTGCTGGCAAGCCAACACCATCAAAAAGGTAAATTTTTAGAAAGATTTGGACTAGCCGACGGCAAACAATAATTCATTTATATTGTAAAGAAATTCCAGTTTTAGGGCAGAATTTCAACACTTTGTTAAACGAATTAAGAGTTTCCGAGAAATTAGAAAGCCATTTTGTACAGATAGTAGGCGTGGGTTAAGTATTTAACAATAAATGTACGCATCTAGAACTTTGGGTCGTTATACCACCGTACCAAACCAACGAACTCTCCTATTTCGGTAGTTCCGTTTTGGTCTAGATAAAGTTGCAGTGTAAACAAACGATTCTGATCTACTATTGGTTTAAAAGGGACGCCGATCGGGGCCATTTCGTTGGTTCCGTTTTGGTATTAATAATATAAATGGCGTAGCGCACAGTGAGCTAGAGAACGTGTACATCACGTCCGCGCGATTTTAATAATTGGAAAAGCAGAATCAGTTTAAAGAGTGAATAATTAGCGGTCAATTGAACACAGTTGAGGCAATACAGATGTGTTCTTTTGAGGGGAGATACGGAAAAAAGACTGATGTCCGCGAATTGCATTTATCAAGTGTACCTAAACGCTAAATATTTAGGAGTGCGTCTATTGCGTATTTAAAATTATCTACATCGAATTCCGACGAAAGAAGAAAACAATTAAATTATACACAAAAGTGTATTTTACATCGATGAACCGATCTTGGTATAAATGCGGAATTTAAAATGGACTTTAATTTTTTTTCGGCTTTTTCGGCTTTTTCGGCCAGAGGTTAATTAGATTGAGCTTGTTTAACTAAATCCAAAGAAGAGATATGTCGTTGTTATCAATATTAGGCAGCCCTTTTACAAAAACTTGTTTTGCAATGCCCGATGACTCATAAATACCTGAAAGGGATCAGAAAACCGCTGAAGTTATGACAAATAGCAAATGCAAATCTTTTGGATGTTGAATAGAAATAGTAGTTTATAGCCACAGAAATATTATAGAATGTGAATTCTTTTTTAAAGAACATTTGGTTGGTGAACAAAACAAAACGAATTATAGTATTTTACATTATTAGCCAAGTGAGTTTTTACTGGCGATAGGAGAAGTTGACTAGCGAGCCGTTAGGCGAGCTTGTCATCTCCTAGAGTCAGTAAAAACTATTACCTGGCGTATAATGTATAATATTTTATTTGTTACTCATTTGTAAACGTAAATAATTAGTTCTTAAATTGATCTCGAAGGAATGTCTAAAATATCATATTATCCATGTAACAGAGACTTCGCATTAATTCTGGCCAATGAAATTACTAGATTACTAACTTGTAAAATTTTTACAGGTCTGCTGTCAGTTTTACAGGTCTGCTGTCAGTTTTACAAGTCAGTAGCGTTTAAACATGACATGACGTTTACCCGTTTGCGTTTTGTCTTGTTAATCAACGTTTACAACTGAGTAACAAATAAATATACAAAATAGCATATACTCATATCACTTCCGGTTTGATCGACATTTCGAAATTTAAATAGTACAACTGGGTATATTTGTACATTTTTTCTATAGATAATTTATCTAATACGGTGTTTTCAGTGAATTATACGGGGTTGGGCGAAAAATTAATCGAGTTTAGTTTAGTTTAGTTTTTAATTTAGGTGTCCATGAATGGATGTTTTCTATTTACCCTACTACGCACGGATTTGGAATTATTCGAGTTAGTTTTATACGGTTGGTATTTTTTTAAATAGGACCATATCAGTAGCTCTCCTGGATATTTTAAAGCGCTCCGTCTGTCTGTAGAGTCCAAAAATGTAAAAATATACAGCATGAACCATTTAAATTTTGAAATGTATGCTCACGTTCACAGGGGTAGGAAAACACTGTTTTCTTAAGCACGCAATTCGTTTTTACCCATGACCTATCCAAAAATTCTACCAAAATTATAGGGGCGAACCTAGATAAGTTTACACATATCGGCTCTGCTGTTTTAGGGGTCAAGTACCTATACTGACAATACAATTTTTCTATAATAAGTAATACATAACCAAATGTGGTAAATAGCCTGCATTGTGGAAATAATAATAGACAATCATATATAAGTAGGAATTTAAAGTTAAGTGAGAATGAATTCGGGTTGGAAGAGCAGAAAATTTTGTTCAAAAGTCATTCTACTCTTAGTTCATGAGAACTTTGCATACAAAATTGCGAATAATTAAATGAATTTACACGATTCCTATAATCATACACGTCGTTGTAATATATGACTCACACCGTACACATGTTTTGTAAACAAACTGACGCACTTAGATATGCATTACCGCTTTTATAAACAAGTAGCTTTTATATAGAAATTAAACATTTACTGCAAATTGATTATTTTTCTCGCAATAGCCATTATGTCCTTAGACCAAGCAACATTTGCAAATTGATGATAAACAAATTCTGGGTTCCATAGTACGCTATTTTGTTCGTCATTTCGTCAAACCTTTCTCGTATCGCGGGCCAAGTGTGAGTGTGCCTAAAGATGATCTTTGATGTATACTGATTTCGATACAAACCCCATTATTCACCCCGACCCACCCCTACTTTACTTGAGCCATTGAATAAAAATTGAGTTTTATTCAATGCTTATCTCAAGGTAATTTTGTAACGTTTGCTGAAAGTGAACGTATCATATATAATATCATTGGACAATGGACCTCTATAGACACCCTATCTATAATAGAAGATCGAGTACTAGTACTAGTACAAAATCCTTAATGCTACTGGTTTAAAGTAGCTAGATACAAGAAAAATGTACTAGTAATCGAAACATAAATAGGTAGGTAATAGTAGACAAGTAATTGGCAAAATTAGTATTCAATGATACATTATAGTAGTGGTATAGGTATGTAATAAATAGCGATGTAATTAAATTATTATCAGTTCATCTGCATGCATTTGACCTCTAAAAATCATAATGCTTTAATATAATTAGAATTAGGTACTATCAAAGGGAATATTTAAACAAAGTTTCCTATTTTTTAGGTGACGAGTTTTGTGCGAATCTCCACACGGTTTATTGA